AAATAAAATCTTTAAAAATGTTTGAAATGACAATTTGATAAAAATAAAAAATAAATTTAAAGAAATTTTGATCACACTAACTTAAAGTTGTAAATATTTCTAAAATTGCTCATAGCATTTTGATGTTGAGCTCTTTCTGAATTAATCTGAATATTTAAATTTTCTATTGTACTTTTTAATTCGTTGATTGTTGTGCTGTGTGCTTTTTCCACATCACTTATTATAGTATTCATTTGTTCAGTTATTGTGATAGTTATACTATCTTCTTTCACTAAATGCTGACAGGATAAATTATTCAGAGTTTCTTCAAATCCTTGTTGTAGTCCTTTTTCTCTTTCGCGCGCTGCTTCTTCAACACTTATGGTTCTTATTTGTGATTGTATTAGCAGCTCACTAATTTCATCGATTTCTTTTTGAATTCTTTCTTTGTCAGTCAAGTAGATTCCAATTCTCTCATTTATTTCATCAAGATTTCTTGGACGATAAACTTCCGCGCAATTAAACTTTAAATGAGCTCTTAATATGTCGCGACATTCTTTTCTTGACCTTAAATCGGGATCTTCTTCCTCGTTCATGTTGTTAACATGAATAAATTTTTTACAAGAAAGAATTATATCGGCTACTTCTTCATTTTCAGCAATCATTTTCTCTCTATCATTTTTACATTTTTCGGCTCTACGAAAACTTGGGAAATTAGTTCGGATAATTGTTGTATATTTACTAATATCATCGGCAAAGAAAATTGTTTGTATTATGTTATAGGCTTTCGCTTCCTCTTCAGTGAACTTTCCACTAGTCACAAAAAATATCTGATTTAAGCCATTTTTAATGGCGTTGATTGCATCTGCCAACTTAAATAAGACTTCATTTTCATTAAATTTAGTATCGCCAATTCCGATTGTGTCTATTATATGAAATTCAATGTTTTCTTCTCTCACCCAAGATTTTATCTCTTGGACACATTTAGTTCCACTAACTCCATACTCACTTTCGACAAATTGATTAGTATTACTTATTACATTCGCAATTGTGGATTTTCCGTTTCCAGTTCTTCCTAACAATAGAATTGTGCGTTTTTCAGTCATATTATATGGTTTATTCTAATGTTTTTTATTTATTTTTTTTTTTGTTATCTTGTCTCTCAATAGCCTAGGTCCTAGTACTTCAGACTAAATATCTATTCGAGTGATTTTATCATAGATTGATTATTGTTTGAATTTATTTAATAAATCCAATTAGAACTTACGGTGCAATCATTTTTATATAGAATAAAAGATAACTATCTCATTAAAGACAAATTTGCCATTCTCAATAACGGATGTATTAAATTCGATACAGTTTAGTTTGGTCTCGGCGTATTATCTATATGCAGATTGAAAGTTCTAGATTTTTTTTTTTTTTTGCATTTTATTGAAATTTATAATTTAGGAAATATTTATATTCCTATAAACAATTTTTTTTTATACATAGGAATATTTTTTAAAAACACTGCTTTTAAGAAATAGTTCTTATGCGAATGCTAAAATCAGCTTTTCCAACACTTGAAGTAATTACGTCGTTTCAAGTACAGTATATTCATTTTACTACATAAATAAACAATGCATATCGTATTTTAACAACAGTTTTCATGTGAATGGATTTGATTTATTGGATTCGAATACGTCGCAGCACTAAAAAAAATGCATATCAATAACTTTATGTTTATCTTAGCCGATTGTTATTTCTGTTTCATAATTAGATTATGTAAAAAAGTTAAAACTTTTAACTGACATGTATGTGCGTATTACAACAGCAATTATACCTTCCATATCAAATGCTAGTATATATCAAATATGATCAGTTGCTCTCAATATTTTCATGCGTAGAGAAACATGACACCTGCCTAAATTTATCCACTAACGTATGCAAAAAAATTAATTTAGACTGATTCTAGTTAAATGCAACTTCAAGCGGACGTCAACTCCGCCCACGACATATATTATGTCTTTAGATATCCGTTAAAAAATTTTAAATGGGAAAATATCGCATGTTGATTCCTTATTCGTTTATCATTATCATGATCTATTGTTCAAGACTAGTATTTTTTTTTGATTGTTTCTTATTTGACATACTCCGATTTACCGGATTTTATACATATTAAACATTTGCAGATGGGCTTAAAAACCTTATTTGATTCAAATGATTGAATATTCCTAAGACTTTAAAGTTTAATCTGTTAACAAAGATTTATGGAAATTTTAATAATTTTAATCTTACAGACATTCGAATTTTTTAAGAAATACACCAATTATGGAATAGCTTTGTAATTCAACTGAATAGAAAAATTTATTAATAATGAAAAATAGTTTTGTATTCAACCAATTTAAATAGGGATGTTAAGTGGTCCGTCTGGTCCGGTCCCGGTCCAGTCCCTATAAAGTCTGATCCTGAACTAGTTGAAAACTAGTTCACCCCTGTCAAAAATTAGTTAAAAACCGGTCTTACCCTAGCGGTTTAATATAATTTTGAAACTCTATATGTTTTAAAAACAATAAAGCATTTACTAATTTGATTTAATCCTACCAATTGATGCACTTAATAATCCTTGTAACAATTAG